ACATAGGGCCATAACCTGAGAGAATCGGGAAGCGCCAAGTGTCCAATTAGGATGGCTCAGGGGCCAACTATATATAGGCTGACTAAGTCGGGACGCTAAACCTAAACGGGATGGAATCCTGACAATAGCCTACTGCAGTGTGCCTCACGAGGCTACCTGATCACATGGAGCGTCAAAAAGAACCAATTCCAATCATAAACATGACCAGATCTACACCGCCACAGTACTTAGCGCCTTGCCACCTGGTGTTTGCTTCTGTTGGTTTCTCACAACCCACGCGGGCCACGCCTGCTGGTCGCTCGTATTCATCCTGTCAATGATAAATTTGGGCCTGAAGGCTTCTCAATTGCCAGAGGAACTACTGTACAGAAAATCCGCATACTACAGCCTTAATCATAGGTCAGCCTAATGAACAGCATATTGTCCAAGCCAACTCGCTCATATGAAGACTACTTGGTGGGATGGATCTGCGCGCTGCCACTTGAAATGGCAGCAGCCGCACTCATGCTCGACGTGGGGCGCGCAAACCTTCCACAGGATGCAAATGACCACAACAATTATATTTTAGGGGAGATTTGCGGCCATAATATTGTGATCATCTGCCTCCCAGCTAGAACATATGGTATTACTCCCGCATAAGAACTGTATAGTTGGTGATCAATTGGTTATCGCTGCTCCGTAATTCTGCCTGTCACATCCGCCTTGTGGTGTTGGTGTTGTAACAAACCTATAGAAATAGGAGAAAGAGAATGATTATATCATTAATAGTGATGCTATCTAGAGCAAAAATGGGATGAAAAACATGAGGGAGATGCTCAAGCGAGCAAGCTAACTAAATCAGGTAATACAGGCGAACGAGTAGCTCTCACAACTGGTTGGAAGAGAGCTGATGTGGAATTGACAGAGTGATAGGACGATGGATTTCCGCCTGGTAAAGGGACTGGATTGAGTGCAGTCATTCTGAACAACACGGATAATGATTTAGGCTGGGTATTTTCTATACTATCAAAACTGGAATAGCTGCTGGACTCGAGGTCTTTCAGACGCCTGATTTCCTGGTAAATAATCTGCTGCAGCTGTTACTTGAGCTCTGTTTCTGCCTGTGGTCAAATAATGCTTTGATAGACTAACAAACAGACCAGTTACTAGGTTACAGCAACACATAAAACTAGAAAATTTACTATACATACTACTATAAGTCTATATTCCTATAATTACTACTATCTCTGCAGTCCTAGTAGAAAGTATAGTATAACTAAAAAGGTATAGACTCCTTCTTTGCTCATTGATTCGGGTGTGGACACCACACGTCTAACGGGCAGCCGTGGCCCGTGGCTACATGCTGTTGCCGAGTGTTGCCTCTAAAAAAGAGATTGAAATTGCTCAGTTGCTGGTGGACTGTGGGGTGGCTGTGAATTCAACGATCAATAGACCCTAGAGGTCACTAACGCCCCTACATCTTGCAGTTACTCAGGTTCAATCAGTGCATTGTCTTGTCTGCCAGCGAGCCGTCTGTGTTTATGGATCTCTCATACATTAAAATGCTTTCTAAACACTGGCAGACGGGTTATCCTTAGTACAATTTATTTATATCAGTCTCTGACCAGCAGGACCTCATCAGCTGCTCTATACCATATCTTCAAATGTTGAACCCACCCTAACTCTTCGTCCTGGAATGCAATCACCATGAACGGAATGCTCCTCTCTCAGATATTTACCCATTGTCTCAGCCTACACTTTCTCAAGTAACACTGCTTGGAATATTCCGCCATCAGATCCACCCCAGAAGAGATGGCGTCTCACTGGCCATCACTCAGCGGAACATACCGTTGACCGTATAGCGTTTTCCAGAGCCTGGTCGCGTCCTTGGCGTCCTGCTTTTGCTTTTTCGGACAGGAACGCATGCTGGAGCTGTGGACCTTGTACGCGAGGAGGTCCAACAGGGCAATAAATGGCAGATGCTTTAAGTTGACGTCTTCCAGCGTCATTGCATTCCCAGGCAGGTACGGTGGCTGTCGTCAGTCACGTTAGTTTGAATTCGGCTATCTGACTGGGGCACACAAACGTACCAAGTACCCTGGAATGATATCCACCTGCACTAAGTACGTCCGTTTGCACTTCGGTTTGGCCTTTAGTTTGCCCTTCCGTGTGCCCTTCCGTTTGCCCTTCCGTTTGCCCTTACATTTGTACTTGAAGAACAGCGGCTGTCCGCACGCCTTGAAGGACTTCCGGAACCGGGAGACCAGCTCCTTGCGGATCCATTGGGTGTCAATGGGATGGTCAGGCCTGAAAAGCAGCACATCCACATCCTGCACCAGGATGCATGGCCTTGTCAGCACGATGAGACTGGCAGATTCTGGTTCTTCAGTGAACTCACCAAGGTTCGCCGTTTAATTTTCACATAATTTTGGACTGCTAGGCCACCGACAATTGCAACCTTAGCGCCCTGCAGTTCTGGCATTGCCTGTAGAGACTGGATGACTGCTCTTGCTGCAGCTCTGAGTGCGATATTGAGGGCATTATCAGACAAATGAGTCAAGCTCATGTTAAGAGTGGTTCCATGGTTTTCAGGATATAGCTTGTAAAGGAAGTCGCAGAGCTTGATTAAATGAAGTTGGTAATGACTGAGCCTGTGAAGAAGGGAATGGACCCTGTTATTTATTGTCATTGCCTGGTTCGAGAACCATTACATCTTGATACAGATGTTCACTTTAAAACAAGGGTGAGGATATATATGGAGGCATGGCAAATGTACAAAGACCTTTTCTTTTTTTTAATCCTTTATCAACATCATGTGGAGCATACATTTTGTCTTAGTTATGGCGGACATGAGGGTGGTGTTATGAGCCATCCTGATACAAGACATTATTGATTGAAAGCATTCATTATACCACAACCACTAGGGTGGAACTTCTTCTAACAGTCACGGAACAAGGTATAACAACATTATTCATTCAACGGATAAGCAAGTTAAACATATGTATGTTCAGAATATGGCAATCAACAATAATAAGTCAATGAGTACAGGATAAACACAAAACAGCTGTAAAGCCCACCCATCATTCCATCACGCATTCTGCTCCTCTTTCACCTCTTCTTCTTTCTTCCTCATCTGCTCTTCCTCCTCCTCCTCCTTCTTCTTCTTTATCATCTCGTCATACTCTTTAAGTTCTTCATGCCATCCAGCTGGCATAATAGCTTCCGACAGCCAGGGACTCTTTTCAGGCACCTCACCCGCCTCCCTCATCTCCGCCCCAAACCTCTCCTCGGCATCCCCATGCGTTCTTTCCCGTGGGGTTTCGGTCAGAATTTTAAACCAGCTTCGAGTACGAGGCGGAAGGTCCTCCAGTTTGAAGAGGCGGTACTCATCCATCACTACCTCCATGTCGTCCAGCAGCGTATCCCACTCGAGCCCTCTGATAGTCTCTTCCGGGTAATTGTCCCGGAAGAACAGGAGGGTCAGCGACTCAGCGTAGCGCGCTGGCGAGGGGATCTTGACCGGATAATCCGCGTTGACAACGCGGCCTCGCCGGAATTCAATGGCGACTTTTGGAAGACGCTTATCCTTAACTGTCCAATAATCGGGGTCATTCGCGGGTGGTATTCCCAGCGGGATCTCGGGCGCTGCCCACAGCAGCTCGGACTTCTTGTAGAGTTCCAGCGTGTACCATTGGCGGGGATTTGGGCCGTATTGCTCGGGTTTGTAGCAGTCCAAGGGGCCGAGGTCCACGATATTGAAGTGCGCGTAGGGGATTCCATGGCAAGAATTGGGGTGGTCGAAGCCGCAATACTTCCCCAGCTGGCACGGGGGGAAGCCGGCTTCTAGCAGGAGGTCGCGTGCTTTGTCGATATGTTCATCGGGGATGACGAAGTAGATGCCCTATTGTTGTCAGGTGGTTAGCTCCTCCAACTGCAGTTGTGGTGCCTCAGTGGAATTAGGGGACTTACGTCTGCCTCAAGGGGAATAAGAATCATATTCATCACAAGCTCTCCCCAGAGCACGTTAGGGATTCCATAGGCATCCAGAAAGCGAGAGATCCGGCATGGGTAGGTCCGGTCAATCATTTGGCGGCGACTCCTGTTTTTGGGGTTAAATCGGAGGTCGGCCATCTTGCGCGTATGAATTAGTTGTTCACGATGCTGAGACCACCATGTCCTGGCCGAGAAAGGTCAGTATATATATATGAACACTTGAACATCAGTCCCATGCATTAACAGTTAATGCACAATGATCTTCCCAACAAGAAGCAGGGAATCTCTGTTTCAAGTTAGAGTAAAGGACCGGCTCCTTCAATCAATCCTTGAGGTCATTCCCTTATTCATCAGTTCGATTCTCCAGATTTGTTAAAGTTGACATCTCTAAACCATGGTACAATCCAAGACCGTGTGGAAATATGAAAGAGTGGTAAAATTAGAAGTTTCTCAACCATCGAGTCTTATTGTTGTGTAGAGGTACCGACAAAGGAATATCCCGGCTGAGAAAACCACTTACTTTGATAAAGTTAATAGAACTCTCCGTGCTTTGTCAAAGACCTAGCCGAAGAAAAAAAGGAGGATCAAACTTCAAAGGAAAAATGTGCCTAGTAACTGTAGGGCCATATCGTCCTTTGTTTTCAGATTGAGCGAGGTCCTCGAGAGCGAGCCGCCACTCAATGAGAAGGACCAGACTTTACTTTAGTACCGTGGTATGAGTCGCATTAGGCAGGGGGTACTGTCCCAGGGATCATTCATGACCTTGAGTGATAATTGTCGCACTGGTATTCATCCATTTTCCTTTATTACCGCCTTGTTGTTGCAGGCCGAACCATGGACCGTTGCAGTCATGATGAATAGTAGGAAAAAGAAAATCACAGCATAATCATTTGGCTGGCACACAAACATAAAGGAGGCAGCTTTCGACTTTTCGGGAGTATCAAGAGACAGACGAGGTGGGATATCAATACTAATCTCTCCATCAAGTTGAAGACAGATAGTCCGTTCGGTACTTCAGTGGGTGGCCAAGGAATATCAGCTGTTACATGTTGTATCCTGTGGCAAAATGCTCCAACACCCCCGGAATGCCTACTTCTTTGTTTGTAGCAAACTAGAGCGTACACACTTGTTCATGAGAGTTCAGGACTTGACGCCACATCCATTGGTGCATTGATCTGTTCCTCATGTACAATGACCCTCGAGCAAGCCGACCACGGCAGGATGACCGTTTTCTTTGGCCAAAGAAATGGCGCTTTGAACCCCATTTCTGTCTGACCGGGAGCTTACGGTTCTCGCATTCAGCAGAATGCGCACCGTGTCTAGATGGCTGTGTTTAGCGGCCCCTTTGATAGTCGTCCGGCCTTTAATAGGCGATGCGGGAGTGTTTACATCTGCGCCCTTCTCCAGAGGAAGGAAATCAAGTCAGAGATGACCACAGATTGGGGCTCCATGCAACGCGGTTACTCCTCCTTTCAGACATGCAGGAGCATTCACGTCAACTCCTGCATCTAGGAGAAGGTGTATTAGGTTAAGGTTCATGTCCGCACTGGATGCCGCGGCTAGAAGTGCAGTTCTCCCATAGAATGGCGCAGCTGGTGCATTGACATTGGAACTTGGTGCTAAGAGTCCCTTCACCACCTCCAGATGGCCGTCTTCTGCAGTAGCCTGGAGCGGTGTGCGTCCCTGTCCGCGACGTATGACCGGCCGAGATCTGCTCGTCTACGACGAGCTGAACCAAGTCAACGTCGCCTGCCCTGGCAAGAGAACACAGCAGGTCCTTGTTGCGATACTCTCCAGCAGAACTTGTTATATCAGCTGCCGCGGCCAGGAGAATTTGGAAAACATCAAGCCGCGCTGTCTCTCCCCTGACCTTGGCTGGCGGTGCGTTCACATTGGCACCGTTCTTCAAAAGGAATTTGACCATTTCGATATCATGCTCTTCGGCTGCGGCGCTTTTGGTCACACTTGACATGACGACGTCTGCAGGTGCGACATCCTTCGTAATCCACTCAGTAGTAGCTCCAGCTAGAGCTGCGATGCCTCGGCTAACTCGATCTCGTACATTTCTTTGTGGTGAAGGGGAGGACATGGTTGGTGAGAATTGATCATCTGTAGGTAAATCCTTAAGCCGTCCTGTGTTATTATTATACTTGACCGTGACAGCAATGGTAAACAGGGTGAATCCAAGCCGTATTCCTATGGCGCTTAGGACTGGGATCCACAGGTTCAAAGGTATGAATACAGCACCCAGCGGGGTGGAAACCATTTCGGAAATAAGAAAGCCTGCATATATCAGAGAAAAGGCAGTCGTTCTAGGTGAGTGAAATTTGGTCAGCTTCACAAGACAATGTACAATGAGATATACCTAGGTAGCCTACCGCTGGTGTGGATGGCACGCATCACCAATGATTGCATAGCACATGGAGACGACTGTCGAGGGACCTCCACCGAGGATAGTAAATATTCCAGAGAACCATACTGCCCTGAGAGGGAAGACTTGAGGCATTGCACAAACTATCGTGGTCCAAGTTTCGTTGAGCAGAACTCCACATAACGCCAGACTCAGCACTTTACTGCGTCCGATGCGGTCTGCTAGAGCGCCATATGGAATTGAGAGTGCCAAACCTATTCCTGATGCATTAGCAAGTCCACGAGCAGCTCCATTAAGAAAAAAAGTGTCGCTTACCAGGGATCATGGTGAACGTTCTCTTCCACCCATTGATGCGGGCCAATTCGCTCTGGACTGGTTCAATCTTGCAGTCAGCCACGCCCGCGAAGCCTGCGTAATAATCATGACAAATTATATCCTCAAAAATCACCATCCGCGGCGCCATGGCTATATCATTGCAGATGTCGGCCATCATAAGCAACACACTAATAGCAATCGTCACTGCGAAGGCGCTCCGCGTAGAGGAATGGTCTTCGTCGTCAGATTTGTCTTGGTTGCTCCATCCTCGATCTGACCTCGGCAATAGAGGCGCCCGCTCAGCGGCCTCCCTGTCATATGGCATATCCTCTTCTGGCGCATCATGGACCAAGTGGTCGTGCGGTGGTTCTAAGCTATGTGGCTTTCTTGAAGGCATAGCGGTGGCTGTTTCCGCAGCTAGACAAGGTCGGGTTGGATTATACGTTGCAGGCAAAGAAGAGAAACGCGAGATAAGGCAGACAATTTGTAATAGGAGAAAGAAACGAGGTAATTACGGAGTAATCAGTGCAGGTTTATTTTTTTAAGTGGTTTTTACAATACTTATGGCCCCCACACAACCAGGGCTGCACTAGTAACATAATCAGAGAGTCCGTATCCCATGTATAATGTACCCTTTGCAAAATATTCTTTTAATGAATAAACTGGACTATTTAATTTTTCTACCAGTATATCTCTCTATTTCTGCGTATAATCACCTTCCTACAAGCTCTTGCTGAGTCTGAATTGTTCCTCCGCTTCCAAAAAATGATTCTCGCATTATTCACTGTTGTGGTCGTTCTGACCCTGGTAGTGATCGTGCGCTATCGCCTCCAGTACGACTCCAGATCCCGTTCACTGGAGACTGGACTAGAAGACCTGAAAGCACTAAACATACGGCATGACGTCCACTCGGCATTCACGACGCTGATAAACGATGAAGGTGCTGGATCATGGCCACCGAGGGCCACCCATGACGAATTTCCGCCGGCTCTGCGCGCCTACAGGCAGATCTATGCTGCCATGGCGCCATTGCTTGCGACGGCCAACCCATCGCTTGACGATGAGTGCAATAAAATCCGCTGTCAAGAGTTTCGCTCGCGCATGCAGGCTCTGCTCACTGAGAAGGTGGACATGAAGGCGGCTCGAAGTGCCCTGGAAACCGTCCAGTCTGGCAATTGGGATGCCCTCCCTCGAGACGCTTACAATGGGTTCTACTCGTGCATTGCTTGCTTGCGCCATGCTTATCGGTAAGTAAGAAAGAGGAAGCCCTTCAATAAAACAAAACACCATGGCCTCCCTGTCATCCGAGTCTGTTAACATCTCGCCCTGTTCTGTCTGCAGATGGGCAACGAACCCAGTTGTAAAGGTTGCACAAGAAGAAAAGCAACTTCGTTTTCCTTTAGAGCTAGACATGCCATGGTCATATATACAGCGAAGATTCGACATCACATCTCCCAGTGGGAATATTATGGCAAACGCTGTCTGCAACCTTGACCCGCATGGACAGGTCGTATATCCAGTAAACGAAGGAATGTCCGATGCGGTGAGAAGTACAGAGCTCGCCTGGAGTCGCATAGCCTGACCCGTAGCTAGAGTTCCTGAGTGTCAACTACCTATATACTCTGTTTGGCTGTTCCTGTAAACCCACCCCGTGACACGCACACTACACCACACTACACCACACTGCACTAAAATGTAGTGCGTGTAGTGCATGTACACTGAAATACACGCACTACTCCCAGGCCTGTGGTGGATACCTTGCCAGTGATGATGACTGACACCATTCTCTGGAGACACGTTGAGTTCTGCATACGTGGTAATAGTTTCATCCATGATCCATGCAGGATATGGTTTGGGGAGTGCAGCGAACCAGTCGTTCCGACTATAGATTCCAATTACCAGCCATCTCGTGATGACCATCAAAGATACATCAGACGCCAAAGTGAATATATGGAACCCAAAGCAATGGCCCTATACCTTTGCCGTCGTCGTCTGTGTCGGTGTCGCACAGTACAACATCTCTCGGCAATCTGTCATCTCTCTCACCTCCATCACTTACACTCCCAACCTCTGTCTTACACTTCTCTAGGGACGCGCACACCTTTCTGGCTAATCTGAGCTCACATGTGGCCTTCGATGACATGTCAAGCCAACGATCTCGAAGTTCCCTAGTAGCATTATGGAGCCCTAGACACACCTCCTCGTCTTTCATCTTTCCATTCCCCATCCCTTCGTACGTAATCCTCGCCATGTCCACACAGATTTCATCATTGACTTCCCAGAGAGTGCCAATAACGTGGCGAAAACCTGCCAGCTGGAACGCGCTGACCAAGTGAATGCTCTCATCAACGAACCTCTCATCTCTCATCTGGCCTGTCCCGCAAGCTGAGAGGTAAGCAAGAAATGGTGAATGCTCTCAAAGGTTTATTTGCAGAAGATTAGCTACTGTGAGTGGGTCACTATTCCCTTCCTCCAGGAGTAAGTGGCTTCTTGATGGATCAGCCTCATCCGTATGACCATGGCCGGCAAAATGAAATATACTGCATTGCGGCAGATGTGATATGACATCCTGCTTGTGTTGACCAGGCTGGATAGGGTCAATTCCCATAGATTTGCACAGGCCACGTATCATTTCTACTTCTTTGGCTGTGAAAGGAAGTCGGGAATTTCCTGGTGTTTACTCCATGGCCACGAGGAGCGCATGCGCCGAAGTAGATGATTGAGCAGGACGTCTGCGGCTATAAATAATCGCTTTGACGGACGAGCTGTATGAGGACATGACCCGATCAAGCACTGTTTCACCAGAACCTATTCGGTGACGTCCAGCCGCATGGAGAGGGAACTTGGTCAAAGTTCCTGTCGGAATCCACCATACGCGTGGAAAATTATGGTCAGACGGAGACTCGCCAAATCCTAGGGCGTTCAAAATAGGACTCATGATGTCATCCCACAGCCATTCTAGAACTTTAGGGCTCCCCAGTTCACCTTTCTTTGCCCTCTCCTAGATCTCCTTGCTGTCAAGCTTGGGTAGAGCCAGACACCATATCTGGTGCTTCTCAATGAGTATCGCATCACAACGATACTGGCTGATATTTATAGCAACAATAGGGCCATATTCTGCAGCAAGACGCATTTCCTGTTCACTTGGCGCGCACAAGAAGTCATCATAACCTGGCTGTTTACGAATTTCGACGATCAACTTATCAAGCTCCTTGTCAGCCTCGTAACGGCGACGCGCTTGAGCCTGCCGGAATGATTATTATCCTGATACCACTATCGGAGCTCCCAAAAGGATTACTTCGGATGCCCTGACGATTTTGAGTAAAGAGGCGGGGTTCTCATCAAGTAAGATACGGTTCGATTCTAGTGCGCTTGTGGTGCAAACCAAGGAGGAACTATTGCAAATGGCGACATCAAGCTCGTTCGGCAATTACATGGGAAAGCTGCCCAGCAAAATGCAGCTGGCTGCGCAGGATGAAATTATGCGTGAGTTCGAACAGTATCATAAAGGCGAACACTTTGAGATACCCCTAACAACTCTGATTGCGGTGGTATATAAATAGCTGGCTAAAACCTACTGAACGTTTTTAAAAGAAAATATATATATATATTTTACACATACCTCCCTCAGACCCCCACAGAGGGTGTCGGAGTTGACTATCTCCAGTCCAGCCACTGTGACACACGTACAGATACGATATCACGAACTGAACCACCGCTTTGCCCATTGATTGCTCCGGCTGCTGCAGGCGTGCGCTGTCCGGCGCACCATCGCACCGTCTCCACGTCAGTGCGACGGTGCCGCCCTGCGCCTGCCAGCTCAGTTGCTGAGACCTGCTCGCCTGCTTGACGATATGGCGGTACATATTCCGGAAATACTACTGTGGCAGCAAGGTGCTTCCCTGCATCTCCTCGGCATGGTGGGGTTACCCAGTATCCATACTCTGCCCTGTGCAGTCTGCTATATCTATCCATGTATCCGTATTCCTGAATACTGCTTATCCTGCCGACTTTGTCATTCCTCCCGCCGACCTACGCTACATGTCTAATGCGACTTCTTTACCCCGCGTATCTACCTGTTCTGCCTGTCTGCGGCCATGGGAGCATGTCCGCTATAGGACCTGTGAGACCTGCCGGCGTCGCCGGCGCCGCACAGCTCCTACAACTCCTGCGCCAGTCCAGCGTCCATATCTGCTGCTCTCTCGACCAGTGGAGAGCCTCCCCATGCCCCCACCGCTACAGACTACGCCTCTGGCAAACAGCATACATCGTCAAAGTCCACAGCACCCTCCGCTGCCAGAGACTCAACCAGCGCTCCCACGACCGGAAGTCAGAGGCCAGCTATCTCGCCCCGTGCCCGGGGCGACCCTCCACTGGTGGGATCAGCTGGCGCGCATGGTCGTGACCCGCTTCACAGAGGACTGGTCAAGGACCTGCTCTTTCTGCAGTACCACCCTTCTATCTACAGAGGAGGATGGCTGGTGTTGTAACCAGGGGCGTAAGCGTCTGCCGCGCCTGCCGGCCTGTGATGACCTCTTAAGCTCCTTGCTGGTTCGGTACCAAGGTCATGTTTCCCAAATCAGTCGTCGACTCAACAACCTCTTCGCCTTTTCCGCAATCGGGACCACTGGCCGCTTTGTGCCGTTTCAGGGACTCGCAAATATCGTCCTGGAGGGTCGTGTCTACCATCGCTTGCTGGATGTGGCTGATAAAGGTCACAGCATGCACTGGTTCCTGTACGATGAGGCGGCACGAGTTGAGCGTGCCCGGGAACAGTCAGTGGCAGAGGACACTGTGAACACTGTACGCCAGTTCCTCAAACAAGTGAGTCCGTACGTTCGCACCTTGCGCCATGCCCTGACCCAGGTGAGTGATGAGGCCATGCCACTGGCTGTAGAAATGTCAGTGCCATCGGCAGGTGGTGAGATTGCTGCCATCATCAACACGGACGGTCTCCGTCACGTGAGTCCTCGCCAGGTGGTCTTCTTCCGCCGAGGAGGCCTGCAACCGCGGTTCGTCCCCATCCTGTCCTGTCTGTACGAGCCGCTGCAGTATCCGCTGCTCTTCCCCCATGGCACACGCGGCTGGGGCTACATCAATGACTTCCAGAAGGCCCTGACTTGCACGCAGATCCAGTGGTATCGTCACCTTTTCCTCTCTGAGCCGCGCTTCCAGATTCTCGGCCGCCTGACCTGCGAGTACGCCGTTAATATGTTCTCCCGGACTGAGGAGGAGCGATTACGCTACCTGCAGCGGGGACGCCGTGTCCATGCAACATCGATGGATGAGGTCGCTGACCCATCGATCCCTGATCTCTTCCAGAACAAGATCCCAGCGAGCTTCATGGGATCACGCGCCTGGGCCTCCGACCAGGTGACTGACTCACTGGCGATCGCCAGGAAGTTGGGAAAGCCGTCCATCTGGTTAACTATGACAACCAACCCACAGTGGTCAGAATCCAGTCGCAGCTCCTACCGGGCCAGGACGTTACTGACGTCCCAGCTGTTGTCTGCCGCGCCTTCCGCGCGCGACTGGGGGTCCTGAAGGCGTTCCTGCGTAAGAGATTTGGGGGGCTGGTATATGAGATCAGCGTCGTCGAGTTCCAGAAGCGAGGCCTGCCACACGCCCACATCGTGGTGAAGTTCAAGCAGGAGCCACCGTTGTCGGCGCTCGACATCTTCATTTCCGCGGAGCTGCCGGACGCAGACCAGGAACCAGATCTCTACCATCAGGTAAGGCGCTTCCACATGCACTCGCAGAACCACCTGGCCCGTCCAGGGTCGCGCTGTAACCGCAACGGCCGATGTATCTACGGCTACCCGCAGCCCATCAACCCCCACACGCACCTAGACGACCTGGGACGCGTGCACTACCGCCGACGCAAGGCTGAGAGCTGCTGGGTGACACCGCATATACCCGCACTGCTGAAGCTGCTGGACTGCCACATCTATGTAGACGTCTGCTCGACGGCGGTCATCTTCCTCTATCTGTTTAAATACCTCTTCAAGGGCCCTGATCACACCAGATTCAGTCTTCACAACATAGTGGACCCTGGGGATGAAGAAGACATTGTCAATGAGTATAAGGACTATGTGAGCGCACGCTATCTGTCTGCCTCCGAGGCAGTGTACCGAATCTTTAACTTTGAAACAGTGCATAAGAAGCCGAGTGTCCGCTGCCTCCCAGTCCACCTGGAAGGGTGTAACTTAGCCAGGATGCGTCGTCCAACTGCGCCAGGATTCTCCACAATGAGTGATCTGCTATGGTACTTCCAGCATCCGGCTACAGAGCCGTTCCAGCAGCTGACATACATGGAATTCTTCAGCTGCTACTACTTTGAGACGTTACCATTAAACAGCCCACTCGATAGATGCCAGGTCCTGATCACCGAGGTGGAGACAATCCAAGGACTGCGGCAGAAGGTGGTACGGCGACCTGCAACTGGGGATATTGTCACCCGGATACAGACCATCCCACTGCGCTACAAGGAGCAGTTCTACCTGCGAGCGCTGCTACAGGTGCGCCCCGCGTCAAGCTTTGAGGACATCCGTACCATCAACGGCCATTGCTACGCAACCTATCATGAAGCGGCTACCGCTCTGGGCCTGTTCCAGGATGTCAGCGAGGCGGAATACGCCATCAGTGAGGCGATTGCTGCGTACAGCCGCCCCTCACAGCTCCGCTTCCTCTTCGCGTATCTTCTTTTAGACCTTCCATTCCCCGCAATCCAGCTTTGGACCCGGTTCCAGCCTGACCTGTGTGCAGACTATACGCTCCACCACCATGCAGACGACGCTACTAATCTGGCTCTGGCCGACATCACACGCTATCTCTCGTCGCAAGGTTCCCCCAATGCGGCTTACCGGAGCCACACCGCCACCACTATGACTCGGAGGTAGACCTGGAACTCAACTTCTTCCATCCACACCGGGCAGTGCTCCGTGCCCGCGCGGATGCAGCTGAGCATTTTTGAGCGCATTCTGGGCCACCAGGATCAACGCGGTGCGGCCTGCTTCTTTGTTGATGGCCGCGCCGGCCGGGGGAAGACCTTTCTGATGGCTGCCCTCTGTGACCGGGTCCGTGCCGATGGTGGCATTGTCTGTGTCACAGGCATGACTGCGCTCAGTGTCATCCATTACGAGCGCGGTAGGACCGCCCACTCTGCCTTTGGCATCCCTGTGCAGGACAGTGATGAGGGTTTAGAATCAAAGATTAGTCCATATGGCGCGCGTGCAGAACTACTCCGTCATGCTCAACTGATCATCTGGGAAGAGCTACCAATGGCGAAAAAGGCCGTGCTGGAGTGCGCAAACCAGCTACTCCAAGAGATTATGGATAACCAGCTTCCCTTTGGTGGAAAGACTTTTGTTGGACTGGCTGACTTCCGCCAAGTGGCACCAGTGGTCCGTGGCAGCTCTGGCCCATCTGCCACGCTGAACAACTCTATTCGCTCCTCATATCTCTGGAGCCACTTCGACATCCTGCGTCTGACCATTCCCATCCGGTATGCGGGGGATGTGGCTTACGCCACCTGGGTGGACCAGCTCGGTGATGGCGTGCCGCCATTCGAGGCCGCTGTGCCAGTGCGGCATCTGCAGCATCTTGAAGACATGGATGGTGCCGCAAGGTTCCTGTTCCTTGACGACTCCCTTGCTCATTCCTCTGATGCCGTCCGCTGAGCGTTCCTGAGCCCCTTCAACGCGCGGGTAGATATCTTCAACCAACTGTTGCTGGACTCCCTGTTAGGGTCTGCCAGTAAGTCCTTCCCCTCTGCTGCCGTCTGCTCAGCATACTAACTATAAGGAAGCCGCTTACTACAGTCATGATACAATTAAGGAAATGGACGAGTCCAGCTTCCACCTACTGACCGGTGCAGAAGCTGATCTTCTTGCCATGTTGCATGAGCCTGGCGTCCCACCACATAACCTCTCTCTTAAAGTCGGCTGCGTCGCGAGCATCATGCGAAACCTATCCATTGAAAAGGGCCTGGTCAAGGATGTGAGGGTGCAGGTGGTCAACTTACTTGCTAATGTCGTCCAGGTGCGCCTCCTGCAATATAATCAGCTACTAACCTCTCAAACTACTGGTGAGGAGATGCAGATCTTCTGCCTCCCTCGCATCACCTTTGAATTCCGACCGCATCGTGCCAATTGGACCGTCCAGCGTCGCCAGTTCCCACTCTGGCTGGCATACGCCACCACTTTCAACAGTTGCCAGGGCCTGACGCTGGACCGCGTCGTGCTCGACCTCACCATGCCAGTATTTGCACATGGCCAGCTCTATATCAGCCTGTCTCGCGTCCGGCGTGGAGCTGACATCCGCATCCTCCGGAACCCTTGGGAGCGCGATGAGCCAACGCTCAACGTTGTCTATCGCGACCTACTCCTTCCCATATGAGTGGTCCTTCTTTTCCTGATGAAAGCAGATTGCGGTACATTGCCCCTCTTTACCCCTCCTGCACCTCCTCCTAATGGTGACCTTTTGCCCAGGATGGCCCCGCTACTCGCGGTAACCCCTCTCTGATCACGTTCACATTAGGCACTAACCACATTCTGTCCCTTCCATCTCTATATCTACCTGTATACTTTCACACTCTCGGTCTTCAGTATGATATAGACCATCTCAATCTGCTCTGTCCACTCGGCATATATAGGGCTATCTCTGCCTGATCTTTGCCGACATGTCCAAGGGAAATAACCCTGCGATCATCCACCTGCGCGACTTTTCTAAGGAACTCACCCTAGACCCAACCCGTCCAGAGCAGCCGGCTGCCCTGCAACTCAAAATCACCTTAAATGTTCCCCATTTGTTACCTGAAGAGCTCTTAGATGACTATCAGATCTGCCCAATCCCTACAATAGTGCGTTTCTTCACGCCCCCTGCACGATCACACCTCTGTCAACAAGACGTTTTCATCTATATCTAGGGCTCATTTTCAATGAGACATGATGTGGACAGCCGGCCACAGCTGATTGTAAACGCTCATTCTATCTCCTGGTGGGTACTGGATTTCCATTCCTGTCTCTACCTTCTCCTTCCCATGATGCACCCCCTTAGAGTGCCTTCTTTGACAAACCCCAGTCATCCTGGTAACTACACCAGCCCAGAGGCGTATGCTATGCACTGCTCAGAGGCAGCTCCCCCAACCATAACCCTCATGGGAACTGTGATCTGTTCTGGTGGTCAGCTGAACAAAGGCCAAACGCTGTTGCATTATGACCTCCGCACCACTGTCTATGACAGCTCTGTTAAGACCCAGGCGACCTTCATAGTCCGGATCTACTTCAAAAACGGGAAACAATGGGCCAACTTCCCCTCCATCACACCACAGAGCCAAGTCATTGTCGCTAGCCACATATGCAGCCTGACAGTCGAAGAACCCCACCTGGCCGTCCAGGTGGACGATATCTACTTTGTCCCAGGTGGTCCACCATCAATGCCGGCCACCCCACGGACACCTCAATCTGCAGCCGGTACCAAACGGCCAGTACGCGACAGATGGGGCCGACATGCCGGTGTTGGTAGCAGTGTTAGTGTAGAGCAATCTACACCATTAAAAAGGCCTCGCCGCTTGCAGGACGATCAGGATGATATAGACTGCCAGCTGCTGACTGCAACCAGTGCTACATCCCCACCAAGTGAATTAGCGCTACCAAGCGACGATGAAAGAGATAGGGACACTGATATGGGTACCATCGCTCCCTATGAAAGGACTTCACGGATCATGGTCTCCGAGCGGTCCAGCCCACTGCTCCAGGACCAACCTGCGGACCTGCGCCCCCGTCGCACACGAGAACGGCCGGCGCATTATACTGCAGAATAGGTAGATAGATACACCATGTAGTAAGAATATTCAAGTTTATTAACTGGCTCCACGTGCACGTCGGCGGCCGTGAGGCCGCCGCCAACGCAACTCGTAGGTCTATATAACTGAAGATATACTACGTTCTGTTCTTGGCCTGAAAGGCTGGAATAAGCCTCCACCGGAGCTCATCATCATGGCTTGGTATGGCGAAGCAGCCTTATCAGGGCCAGGATTCCCGTACAGGATGTGTTTTTCCATCAATGAGAGGGTGTTGGACTCAGAAAGCGATTGCCTGATTAGATTGATTTTATGATAACAAAGCAAACCTGGTGATGCCATCGACACTTACATGACAACATCATCGGTTTCCCTGCGCCCTTCACCCTTGCCCATTGTGTTCATACTACGTAGCTGTCACCATTATTTGCATAGAGCAGACATTAAATTCACGTAGATATAAGTGGGGATAGCAGTTGTAGATGACTGGAATCATCGCAAAATGGCCGGCCCAGCATCAGATATCAGTGACAAGCAAGTCACCAAGGATGGTACCACGGTCCACCTTGCCGAGCCCGAAGAGCAGTCGCACAGCAGATCATTCTTGTCTATCTTTACGCGGAAGAAACAAGTTGACCTGGATGCTACAGCAACCACCAAGAGCGTCTTCGACGACCCTGTGCTAGCCAAATACTACCTCCCACATCCGCAATGTGAGAACCTGCACCGATTCGATCCCGACTTCCGGTGGACCCATCGCGAGGAGGTCGCCGTCAGACGCAAGACGGACCTCAAAATATTCCTCTGGATTCTGGTCATGTTCTTCGGCCTCAATCTTGACCGGGGAAATCTAGGCAATGCGTCTGCCGACAATCTTCTGCCGGACCTGCACATCAACACCAACGACTACAACAACGCGCAGAATATGTACCGAATCGGTTTTCTGATTGCGGAGATCCCCTCCCAGATGGTGGGCAAGCGACTTGGCCCTGATCGCTGGATCCCCGTGCAGATCATCCTCTGGAGTCTGGCCTCCGGGGGACAGTTCTTCATCCACAACCGGGCTGGATTCTTCGCGTGCCGGTTCTTCCTCGGGTTCTTCATGGGAGGCTTTATCCCCGACGTGATTCTGTACCTATCCTACTTTTATAAAAAGACGGAAATGCCGCTGCGACTCGCTCTCTTCTGGTTCGTCGATTCTCTCTCGGGCGTGATCGCCTCCTTCATCGCGTACGGAGTGCTGCACATGCGCGGCGTTGCCGGACGCGCGGGTTGGCGATGGCTTTTCCTCATCGAAGCACTGATCAGTCTGGTCATTGGTGTTCTCAGCTTCCTGTTCCTTGTCCCCGGTCCAACCCAGACAGCAACCTGGTGGAACCCCAAAGGGTACTTCACCGAACGCGAGGAGAAGATCATCGTCAACAGGGTCCTGCGCGACGACCCCTCCAAAGGCGACATGCATAACAGACAGGCACTCAGCATAGGGATGCTCTGGCGCAGTCTCAAGGACTACGATCTCTGGCCTATCTACATCATCGGCATCCTGTTCGAGATCCCCACCTCCCCGCCGAAGTCCTACCTGAGTCTCTCGCTCAGGGCCATCGGCTTCTCGACCTTCCAGACTACACTTCTGGGTATCCCCGTCACCGTCTTCGCGGCTCTCAATCTCCTTCTGATCACAGAGCTGACCGAGCGCTTCCACCAGATCGCAGTCATCGGCATCCTCACGCAGCTATGGTCGCTCCCGCTTCTGATAATTCTGTACACTTCCGCCCGCACCCTCTCCCACTGGGGTCTCTACGCCGTCACCTTCGTGCTCCTAGGCTGGCCCTCCCCACATGCAGCACACGTAGGCTGGTGCTCGCGGCTGAGTAACGCCGTCCGCACGCGCACGGTCAGCGCGGCGCTGTACAACATCACCATCCAGCTGTCCGGGATCGCCTCGTCGAATATCTACCGCGAGGACGATAAGCCGTACTACCGACGGGGTAACTCACAGCTGATTGCGATCAATGTTGCGACGATTGTGGCGTATATCTTGGCAAAGTGGTACTATGTTGTGAGGAATCGGTGGAAGAGGGAACGCTGGGATGCGATGAGTGAGAGTCAGAAGGTGGAGTATCTGGAGACTACGACGGATGAGGGGAATAAGCGGTTGGATTTTTTGTTTGACAGTTAGCCGTGATGGTCTCTAGGGTGTGGCTGAAATTATCGAGGGAATTGTGTCTATAGTATTCCGTAGATAACATCAAATTGGCTTGGATGACGCGAGTAGATTCCACCAACAGTGACAGCATCCCACCGGAGTTACCTGAAAAAGTTATAAAGCTAGCGGAACCCTTTCTTAGTATGCCCTGTTCAACAGTTGTCAACTGAAAATGACGGCAGACGAAGTGCAACTCCCGCCTAAACCGGCCAACCTCCCCCACCCGGACTACCACACCCCCCGAAGCGTCTCCCCTCTGGAATCCGTCCGCGCAGCAGGCCTGGAATACCCCGACTACACCCCCTTCAAGCTCGCCAATCTCACCCTGCACCCCTTCACCGACCGCGGGCACCACGCCGATCCCTCCAAATCGCGCCTCCTCTCCGCCGCAACGGAGATCATCCACCTCACGCCAGACATCGGCACCGAGCTCGCCGGCCTTCAACTCGCGTCCCTCACCCCAGCCCAAAAGGATGATCTGGCGCTGCTAGTTGCAGAGCGAGGGGTGGTCTTCTTCCGCGACCAGGCGATGGACGTGCACGAGCAGATCGCCTTCGCGGCGTATTTTGGCGAGCTGCACATCCACCAGATGGCGGGGATCATACCCGATCTGCCCTGGGTGCATCCCATCTACAAGGACCATACGGCGGTGAATGGCCGCTCGCATCAGATCTGGCATTCGGATGTGAGTTATGAGTTGCAGCCGCCTGGTCTCACGATGCTACGGATGGATACCCTGCCTGCTGCGGGGCCGGGGGGGAGTGTAGCCGGGGGCGATACGATCTGGGCTAGTGGGTATGCGTTGTATGAGTGTATGTCTTGCGTAGCATTTATTGAATGGGAGAATGTTGACGGTGGTAGCGCTGTCACCGAAGTTGAGGGCGTTTCTTGAGACGCTGGAGGCGAAGCATAGCGGGCTGGAGCAGGCGGAGAAGGCACTGAAGACGAATGGGTGTCTCCGGCGGGATCCGATCGAGACTATTGTGAGTTGTGCCCTTAACCTAGGTGAATGGACTACGGAAGTATTGAACAAGAGAAGCATCCCGTGGTCCGTACACACCCCGTCACGAAATGGAAAACTCTGTACGTCAATGAGAACTTCACCAAGGAAATCGTCGGCATCGAGAAGAAGGTTGGACATGCACTGCTGGATACGCTCTACCGGACCATCGCCGAGGCCTATGAGTATCAGGTCCGGTGGAAGTGGACTCCGAACGCGGTGGCGATCTGGGATAACCGGGTGACCTTCCACACAGGGATATTCGATTACTGTATGTCTTCCTATCTCGTGTCTGGAGTCCTGCTGACAACTGAAGTTCCTCATCTGCGGCATGGATTGCGTGTTGCACCACAGGCTGAGAAGCCGTATTTGGATGTGGAGTCCAAGACACGGAAGGAAGACCTGGAGAGTAGGAATGCGTTGAAACAGTGATTAGTAGCATAGATAGATAGCTCTGGGCGCAATTGCATGGTGTCATCCATACTAAAATGGCACCAATGCTATATACATGGACAGAGCAGTGGACGGAAAATTACCATGATCTGACCTTCATTGCATCATTTGATATCTTAGTATAAATGCTTGACCAAGCCATTATTGATCTCACAACACATCATGCTTGTCCTTACCTTGCTCTTTGCCCTCCCGCTGGGCCTAGCAGCGGCCCAGCTCATCGGCCCTGTAGGCCCAATCACTTCTCTCTCCAAGAAGAAAATCGCATGTAATATCCTCAGCTATGGTGCTGTCGCTGACAACACCACCGACATCTCGACGTCCCTCGAGACAACATTTAATGACTGTGTCCGACCCAACCCCGGCAGCAGACTCATTGTCCCCGAGGGGCAATACCTGATCTCCCGCGGCGTTGTGCTCAGCAACGCGACCAATTGGGCATTTCAGCTGGATGGCCTCATCACGGCAGCATATGGGGGAAACTGGACCATTGATCGTGCGTTGATCCTTGAGGGTTTGGCCGGTGCAGATGTTCTAAATGTTACCATTAATGGGGAGGGTGACCAGAAGTTTTTGTTAGATGTCTTGGTCATTGTCAATGGTGAGACTCAGTTATCAGTTGTAAAATGTAGACTGACAGTGCAGCCGTCGATTTCGAGTTCTACTCATCCAATGGTCTCGGTGCCTTCCAAGGCCAAGGATACCTCTACCGGAATCTGAACAAGTATGTTATCACCATGATGTTGGATGATGCTGACCGAACAGCACCGATCGACCCCGTCTCGTCCGTTTGATCTCGCCAACGAATGCCTCCGTTCATGACCTGATCCTGGTCGACAGCCCGAAATTCCACATTGTGCTGGACTTTGCCGTCAACGTTGAAGCATACCATCTTACCATCCGGGGGGCGAATCTCGGCAGTTACGATGGTATTGATGCAATCGGCACCAACTATCACATTCACGATAATGAGGTATGTTATTACCGCTCCTTTGATGGCCTAGCTGACCGTCAGGTCACCAACCGCGACGAATGCGTCTCCGTCAAGAGTCCCTCCCACCATGCCTTGGTCGAAAACCTGGTCTGTAATCAGGCCGGCTCGGGGGTCTCCATCGGCAGCCTCAACGTCTCCGCCGAGATATCAAACATAGTACGTCGGTCCGCGCCATCAAGACTGCTGTACTGATTGACAGGTCGCGCAAAACATCAGCATCATCCAGGGGAACAACATTGCCTTCATCAAGACCTACCCCGGTGGCTCCGGCTACGTGACCAATGTCACCTTTGCCAACTTCCGCTCCAAAGCAAGTCTGTACGGGTTGAACATCAACCAGTACTGGCAGAACACGTTCGAGCCAGACACGGGGTCAGTCGCGTTGAGCAATCTTGTCTTTAGAAACTTTTCAGGTGGGGCTCTCTCCTTCCTCTCCGGCTACATGGTTAAATGTCATCGCAGGCTCCGTAGCAAACGGCGTCCAACGTCCACCGCTCTACCTCATCGCCAACGACCTCACATACGCCACCAACGTTACCGTCAAGGACTTTACCGTCTGGACCGAGTCCGGCAGCAGCGTCGTCAATAAGATCAACAATGTCTTTGGCGAAGGCGATGACTCCTACGGTCCAAACAATGGACTCGTCTCCCTTGGTGCTGCGGAACAACCACATACATATACGAGCACGTACACAATCACCGCCTCGCCAACGGGATGGGTCGCGCCGGGTTTACCGGCCTGGGCGGCGCCGAGCACGGGCTACGGAAGTAAGTGTCTCTGGTGGTTGACTGCGTGGTGCTAATGGTGTTTGCAGCTGCGTCGCCCATTCCGGTTTATACGCCGAAGCCTCTGTGGAGGCCTGGCGGGGTGGACTATGATTTGCATTACTGGGGGGGTTTTTAGTGGGATGTTAAGAAGTAACATCTCCAGGGCAGTAGAGGAGATGATGTGGATACTATCCTCAATAGGCTGATTAAAGTCTCCATACCAAGAAATAGCCTGCTCCATACTTTACCTATACAGGCTATACTCCATAAGCCTAATGTATAATTGCCCTCTTCCACTATACTCAAACATCTAACGCCATTCATTAAGTGCCGGCGGTGCCATTATTGAGCTTCAGGCGGTGACAGCTAATTGTTGGCTGCTTCGTTGAGATTTCAGCTAGACAAAGTACTGAGTCACCAAGCCAAGCCATAGCACTTTTTACACACCAGGCAGATTACTCCTCCCTGCATTATGTTGGCCCGAAATAGTCATTTGACAGCCAAGAGGGCCCTTTCCATTTTTGGTTAGCGTATGGCAGGGGTTCGTACGAGGATATCCCAGGATATCGAGAAGCTGGGTCCCATAGCCGCTATATATACCCCGTTCGCACTCTACCACCATCATTCCCTCCGTGGCTATCGTCTACTTGAATCAACCCGCCGTTGCGTACTTCTTGTCCTGGATATTTCTTCACTATCATGTTTTGACCAGGAAATGCTACCTAAGAGCATTGATCAAACCAAAAAGCCAGCGACAACTCAGGATGAGGTGATCAGTCTGCTGAGGGCCTTTGTCCATAAGGTGGTTACTTGTGCGACCATCAATCTTCAGGATGCGCCGGAGGTATAGCAAGATCTTTTCTAAAAAGGATGCTACTGATCAACCACATCAGTTCAATAGTATAATTCATCAGCTGTGCGAAGACCCCCCTCAGGTCGCTCAAGCTATCGCGGGAGCAATTCAAGAGAGCTCTCCCCAAGAGCAGGGTCTGAAATTAACAAAGGCTGCCCATTCCTCAAAACGAAAGAGAAATTCAGTGAACGATCCTTCCTATCGACCATGCAAGTATGCCAAGCGCAAGGTGGATGGCCATTCAGGAAATGCGGGTAATCTAATTCCTGGTGTACTGTCGGTACCACCAAACTACTCCCTTCAGGACGACATTCAGAGCAGCAGGAGGCTGTTCACTGGGAGGCTATATCGCCCGGAAACATGAACTCAATCGCTGGTTCATACGGAGCCACGTCAGTCTCTAGTGGCCTTGCGAGCTTGACAACTCGGGAATTACCTTCATCAAGCTCAGAAGGAAATTCACCATCAATTACAGTTGCCAATGGTAATCCAGTTAACTCAGAGAAGCTTAGAGATGAAAGTTCCTCGCCCAACAGAAGAGATGCAAAGGGACGGGATCCCAGGAGCACCAGACACCATCAATGAGAACCAAACAAACCCATTAGTCAGCAGGGTAATTCAGAGTGGAAAAGTCATGCTGACACAAGGCAGGACGTTTTTTCAGACCACTAATACCTGGCCAATGAAAGACAGTGCTGATCCTCTCGATGGATGGTCTCCAGAGGAGGTTGCGGATACATCAAGTGGAGCTGCAAGTGCTGACATATATGGCAAGCTCTTCTACCATATTCACGGGCTGCTTTGGTCTTTTCTTGATCGATTATCGAGCTTGAACATTTCTTTCAAAATTTTCCGGATCGATGTCTCCTCCCTTCCTGACCATATCGAGCCTGATGTGATGATCGGCAGATCAGATAGAAAGGATGAATGTAATCGATTCTTATTTGAGTCCTATCACGAGAAGAACAAAGGTGGAGAGGGAAGGGAGAAGGTGAGAGGACTGAAGGTGGTGGTGGGTGGTATGAGACCTCCACTAACCCTAGCCCTGAGCCCTGAGCCCTTCCCTTCCTAATGCAGCTAACTACGTGCAAAGGGAGACTATATCAGAGACTACAGAGTTAAGCGCGGTGTTGCGCGCAGGGTCATCACATCACCCCCCCGTTAAAAAGAATCGCCTGTCCGCAGGCGTGGAAAATAGCGCTGAAAGCGGGCTTTATAAGGCGAAGTCCTCGCGGCCCCTGATCGGCCAACCAAATGCTCACTGCTCAGCCCGATCCCTCGCAGGTCGCCTCGGCTGCCAGCCCTCGGCACGGTCATCAAGTTCATGATCCTCCAAGAAAACCTCATTTTCTGCAGCCTCTAGCCACTCGGACAGTCGTATCGGCGGCTTTGCACAGTCTGGGTAGCGGCGGTGGAAATCCCGTATTGCAGTTGAAGAGTTTTTGAAGTCTCGAGCAGGATACCATGTTAGGTCGTCATCATGACCCACCCACTTAACACGATACTGCAGCTTCTGATAGTGCAGGCGTGAAGCAAGCACTTCCTGAACCTCCCACTCGTCCTGTCCATTGACCTTGATCGGTGGTTGGGGATCCGCAATCTGCCCCGGTAGGGGATCCATCCTAGGTGCGCGACGGAGCTTCTCTGGCGCGAAGACAGGATGCACCTTGATGTTCGCGGGCAGATCTAGGCGGTAAGAGTGTCCGACCTTTTCAACAATCTTGAATGGTCCCGCAGCCTGTTCGCCTAGCTTTCTGCTTGGTCTGCCCAGCTCCCAGTGCTTTGTGGTGACCATCACGTAATCCCCGATGTCAAAGTCCTCCTCGCGGCGATGGCGGTTGGCTTGTGTTCGTTGCCGTTCCTGCGCTCTAGTCATCTCTTGTTGAGTCCAGACCCAGATCTCCTCCATCCGTTGTACAAACTCCTGGGCATCAACCTGCTCATTTTTCAGAGGTGGAGGAGTAGCAGCGGTCCAGTCGAACGATGTTCGGGGTTCGTAGCCAGCGTCAGCGAGAAAGGGAGAGATCCCTGTGGATTCATGGGGAAGCATAGCACCTGCAAAGTCCAGCAGCGGCAGCATCTCTGACCAGTTATCCTGGTAGTAGTTCATGAATGGTCGCAACCGAATCGCGATGTACTGATTGACTATCTCCGTTTGCCCATCTGTCTGCGGATGGTGACTTGTAGATAGTTTAACCTTTACTCCCAGGATCTTGCACACTTCACTCCAGAACTCTGATATGAACTGCCCTCCACGATCAGATACAATTGAATCTGGTAGTCCCTTCCATCGGTAAATATGCACGACAAATAGTCTAGCCATTTCCTTTGAGGATGTGGTCTTGTGGCAGGGAATTGCTATCGCCCTCTTACTGAGTCGGTCGACCACCACCATGGCTGCATCGAATCCGTGCCTGTCTGGAGGGAATGATCGGAAGTCAATGGAAACATGCTGCCATGGTCTGCTTGGGATTGGTAGTGGCTGCAGCAACCCTGGCGGCTTATCTCTCCAAGTATTACACCTCTTGCACTGCAGGCAATTGTCAATGTATCGTTCAACATCCTTGCTCCATGTTGGCTAATAGTATCATGTTCGAAGCAATTTCTTCGTCTTGCGCACGCCCGGGTGAGCTGTTGACATTTGCCGGTGAATCTCATCCAGTAAGCGTGCACGCACGTCGTTAACGTCAGGGACAACGAGACATTCTTGATATAGTAACTTCGCACCATCCATCGTCCAATTGGTATCCTCACCAGTACGCGCCTTCTCACGCTCTGTCTCTAATGTATCTGAAGTGACATTCAGCCGGATAATTCGCTCGATAATTGTCTCGTCGACATCCTCCCCCTGGCTAGCGGCTTCATCCGGTGCATCAAGAAGTGCGACAGTGGCGACTTGAGGCAGAACGCCATCCTCCAGGCACTCCGGCCTAAGCACTAATTGCGTTCGATATCCATCCCGTCCTGACGCATCATTATTATCTCGCCGCGTCAGCGCATCCGCCAGAGTATTACTTTTGCCGGGTCGATACTTAATCAGGAAGTGATAATCCGCTAGAAGCTCGCACCACCGCGCCTGCCTAGAGTTAAGCTTCTTCATCGTCATGAAGTACTCAAGCGCTCGATGATCTGTGTAGACGTCGAACTGGGTGCTCCGTAGACCCTGGAGCTCGGCTCGCCAAGTCTTCATCCCATCTATGATTGCAAGCATCTCCTTGTCATGTATTTCGTAATTGCACTCCGCCGGATTCATCATTCGCGAGTGGTAGGCAATTGGGTGCCACTCATCCCCGTGGAGTTGTGAGAGGACGCTGGCCACAACTAGATCGGAGGCGTCTGTCTCCATCTTAGTTGGTAACTCAGGAAGGTAATGCCGTAGAATAGGAGCACTAGTCAGGGAGTCCTTTAATGTCTGGAAGGCCTTCTGACATTCCTGCGACCACTGGTAGGGGACCTCTTTCTTAGTAAGGCGGAATAGGGGCTTGGCCACGCGGCTATAATCCTTTATAAAGCGACGATAGAAATTGCAAAATCCTAGGAAGGACTGTATGCCCCAGACAGTCGTTGGTGGTTCCCAAGCACGGATAACTTCCACTTTCTCTGGATCGACCTCAATCCCATTTGTTGTGACGACGAACCCGAGAAACTTGGTGCGTGTTACATGAAACTCACACTTTGACAGGCTCGCCTGCAATCCGGCTTCGCGTAGGCGCTGTAGAACGTGCTTAACATGAATCTCATGTTCAGCCATGCTATCACTGTAGATAAGCAGATCATCAACAAATGCAGCGAGGAAGATGTCTAGACAATCCATGAAAAGCTCATTAATCAGGCGTTGGAATGTCGCTGGGCCGTTAGTGAGACCAAATGGCATCACCTTATACTTGAAGGAACCGTATCGGGTCCTGAATGTGGTGATCTCTTCTGATTCAGGGTCCATGCGAATCTGATGGAAGCCCTGCCGGATATCAATCTTGGTATAAATCTTCGCACGCGAGATGCGGTCCATCAGCTCATTAATCAGGGGAAGCGGATGGACGTCCTTTTTTGTTATCGCGTTTAACTTCCGATAGTCTACGCAAAGACGTAGTCCTCCGTCAGATTTACGGACCATTAAAATTGGAGACGCAAACGGTGCATCACTAGGGACGATGAAGCCCTTTCCAAGATTGTCCATGATATAAGCTTTCATAGCTTCGAGCTCCTCTGCGGTCATCTTATACAAGGGGCTGTGTCCTAAGATGTTCTGGTGATCATCCTCTAGGACCAACTTATGGTCACAT